GAGGTTGATAAAGTGATCATTTTTTAGCATCATTGATTAAATGATATTTTAGAAACATAATTACCCTGATAGTCATTTGTGACAGTTTGATCTATATTGTTAAACCGAAAATATTGTTCTTGCTCTCATCAGATCAGGGCATGAGCAGAGTATGTACAGTAAGATTTGACTGTTAGAGGTATGGATCTGTGTTAATCCTGTTTTGTTCTGTAGATAAATTTTTTCATCTTAAGTCAGTAGCTTTCATAGTTTTGTGATCTAAAATATAGATTTTTGATTAAATAAATTTTATAGTATTTAATATATAAGCATTCTGTAATCCTGTCCGGTGGTTAAATTTTGTTATCTTAAGTTTGGAAGAATCAATCGTTCGTTAGTGATACTAGTTGAGAGAGAAACATTCAATGTATATTTTATGTATCGGCACGCAAAGACTCCGATCTTTCAATTGTTGCAAGTCGATAACAGTTGCACTAACCGTTTTGCAATATAAAAATAGAAACTTAGTTGAAGAATATAAGTTGAGAACACTGAATCGTTAATTTTAGAATTTAACTGATTTAAGCATATAACCGCCAATAGTAGGCAGACGATATACAAATCATTGCACAAAATCATATGAATATATATATTTTATTTTTAATGGTTATTTTAACAATAAATTATATTACTATTACTGTTAGGGGATGTGGCACCGCGACCGTCGGGTCTATTGTGCCCTCTTCTGGGCTTAGAGTAAGTCTTTAAGCGCTGTTGCGTCAATAAAAAGTAGTATAGAACCTACTTTACAGAGTTTTATTGCCACTTCCGTAAGAATATACATTCCTAAGAGCCTATTTCGTATAGATAAATTATATAATCTTATAAATTTTATAAATTATAAGAAATTATAATAATAATATATTTTATAATAATAATATATTTTATTTTCAATGGTTACTTTAATAATAAATTAATATAAATTATAATAAATTATAATTATAATATATAGTATTTTATTTTATTTTATAGTTATATTAAAAATAAAGCATATATGTTATTAATAAAAAAAGTTAATAATCTAATTGGTTTTTTTTTATTTATAAAGTATGTTAATTTTATTGACTACATACAATTTATTAATATATTTTCTAAATATATCTAATTATTAAATAAATAATATATCTTAAATATATTATCAGAACAATTTACAGAGTTTCTTGTATGTCAATATGTTCATTAGGATAGATTTGCTTATTGTATCATTCAAATTAGATTTTTCTCAATGATATAATTTTTTATAAAGTTCTTATTGGCCTAGAAGCTCCAAGTTTCTATCTCTCCTCCCCTCAAGGCTCAACGCTAATTTAATTACCTCAATAGATTTTAAGGCTAAATCAAATGAACCATTGAAAAAGTTAAGTTGCTCGTGTCTTAACGTTTCGTGTTTTTGTTAATGTACCAAATGTACCCGATAAACTGCAAGTGAATCTATCTGTCTATCTTCGTATTTCCGCATGCGGGTTGAAGTGTCATTACTCATGTCGAATGCTTGAACTGCATCTATTTAAGGCATAACCAAGGCAAATCAAAGACACCCTCAATGAGACGACTTCCCCGAATGTATGTTCGACTCAACAACAAGTGGTAAGTTAGGAAGAGCGTCAGAAAATAAATCCTCTGGAGTGCCAACATAAACGGTTTGTTGTGTAAATAAACCTTTTATACTCGCACACAATCACTTAAATTGCCTGGAAAGAAAAGAATTAAAAATAACATAAAAGAAATAAATTGTTACAAAAACTAAGTTGGCGATATTACTAAAACATGGGGAAGACGGTTGAGTAGATGGACTTGGGTGTGTAGTTTTGTACCACAAACTGAAGGTAGGTTGATTTGTAATTCATACAGTTACCATTCGTACCATTCGTGCTGGAATAAACTATGCTCACCCACTCCACAATTCATTCTTTCTTGTACTTCTCTTATCGCCGGCAGTTGATGTCGTATCTGCCCATTGTTTCAAATCTCACACGCATATTTTAATAGTAAGTAGCATTTTTCTTAATTCTACTTCACTACTACTTGACATTGATTTCCCAGTTCCTCACACTGAAGAGAGCTTTGCAGCAGGCAAAGCCTTGACTTTTCCTTTCCTTTCTGCATCCTTTAAGTGAGTTTAAGATAAACAAATATTGGCAATAAGAGTGGCCGCAATAAAAAAGCGTTTCGTCTACAAGTTTCATTGACAAATTGACAATATTTAAAGAAAATCTCAATATTCACTTTTACCGAAGTGGGTGAAGTACTATAAAAGGTTACAATATATTTTAAGTTAAGACTTTGGAAGTTTGAATTTAAAATACATTGTGACTTGTTGGAAAGATGCCATAGATATATTTATAAAATACATACTTACTATTAGTAAAGTAGACTGTGGAGTTTTCTCGAAGGGACGTAATAAATCTATATATTATAAGCTTCCTGATCACTGTACCATTTTGAGGTGGATTTGTGATCACTATTAGAGGAGCTATAGTTTGTCTGGAATTGGATAATATATTTAATAGGAATATAAACAAACTATTAAACAGTTAAGCTGTTTTAAAATTTCTACGTTTAGTCCAATTTATGAGTCGTTGAAGGAGTACATTACTTTTCTATTGTGGGTGTCGGTTCATAGGTACATTTTCAGCACTTGAAAGGCAGACTGATTGGACAGAAGAAGTGCTTTAGGTATTCATTCGGAACATCTGAAAAATCGGAATATAACGTCAGAGTCATGCCAGCAGTCTCAACGATGATCAGATATGCAAGTTTGGTCCAATTTATGTAATGAACAATCTAGCAACCTCATTGAGACGCCCCCATTGAGATGTATATGACTGAAGTTGTTACCTAAGTAAGTAAATTAGTTGATCATTTTCAAATATATAATAATTTTCCATTAATGTATATACCATGTGTTAGTGTTTTCCTAAGAAGTTTGTTATAATTTATAACAAATATAAGGATTTAACTATGAGTGCTAATTTATTTATGGATTGGTTCCATTAGGATCATGTGGCAAAACAATGGACTTAATTTACAGAAGCGCGTTAGTTTTCAAATATTGGATGCTCATGACTCTACGTATCTACCTGTCTTCATAGAGTAGGCATTCTGTATCCCTTTGTTTTTCTCGATAGCACAATTCCGTATCATCTTTATTTTGTTCAAATAATATCTATTTGTTAGGCTTAGATTTTTGGGGGTTCCATTTTTTGACACACTCAGCGATATCTCCAGTATTACCATTGACCAGACTCTCGTCTTTATAAATGCTTCTGGCTGATTCCAGTTCGATATTCTTCTACCCATTATTACGAGGAGTTGTGGACTCAAAACTACTTTTTCATTTATTTACTAACTATTTTATCCATCTTCTAATTTCCTCTGTATCAAAACAATTTAGTTATTGTAATTGGGACCTAAAATTACAATAAAAACGACAATTTGTTATAGTTATACGAAATTAACCTTCTATATAGATTATAGGTTAGACTATATAGAATATAAAATCCTCATTCACTTGAAATACAGATTGTTTTCATTCGTTTTTTTATAGTTTATATAATTTAATAATATTTCGAAAGGAATAAATTCTTCCTAATACTTTGTTTCTTGAGATATTTCATTATTCAGTTTACATTCTCATTATTGCCATCGTTATATTCTCTATATCCATTGAAAAACATATCATCGTGGAACTGCTTATACGAGTATTTGGTTTACTTAAAATCTTTGCTTTGCACTTTATTTTTTAATATAATTCCTTAGACACCTAAGGTATTCGTATCTAGAGTTAGGGTAATAATGCTCACCTTTTTGTATTTATTAGCTATACTATATACTATAATTATGAACCATTATATATTGATTTCGATATCAAGGTTAATACATTCTGATTTTTATCTGTTTATACCTGTTCTTAATTTAATATTCGATGGATTATTGCCAGTGAAATATGTGTGAAAACATAGGTAAAATTCTCAAGTAACACTTTTAAACTATTGAAATCCTCTGGCGTTGATGGTATGCTGTTAGGTATTTTCATAAAGATTGTCAAAGATATCCTGATTTTCTTCTTTAGCCAGGATATCTAGAAGTAGCACCGGAATATAGGTAACTTACCAACGATCTGAAGGGTAGCAAAAATCGGTTTTGCACTAAAGGTGGGTAGAAAGAATCAGCTTTATCTGTAATCCTTCAGACCCATTTACTTTTTATATTTTCTATTATTATAGTTCTTAATGTCAGTAATTCCTTTTTTTATTTTCTGAAAAATATTTTATAATTTAATCCTTAGAAAACTCTTGATGTAGGGTGACTACTCTATTGATTCATAAGAATCGAATACATAAATTAAAGTTTTCGAATTATTTAAAGACACATCGTTTTCTTTGTGAATTAATCTTCGTGTAAGCAAAATTTATTTAAAAGTTAAAATATAAAGAAATGTATTTATAAACAATAAAAAGTTTACCAAAAGTATTTTTCTAAATCTTGCAGTTCAGAATTAAGAATTTTCCTTCTTCGTTTCATACGTAATGATCCGAGAAAAGCAGAAGCAGAAGCAGAAGTTGACGTCATTTTCAGCAATGAGTATCCTGATTTTGTAATGATTTGGCCAATCAAAGCAAACTACAGACAATACTCCTACGCAATTTCTATGGGAGGAGTTACCAATGCCTTGCCAAGTGTTGCTTCAGAGGCAAATAAACTTGCCACAGTATTCATCAGAAACGTTAGGAAAGTATTGGGAGGGGGCATAAATAATATCACTTGTAGCTTTTATAATCATCACATGCGAGAAATGACACACAACTTCAGCCAAATGGATTTGAATAAGTTATGTGGGCGATGTGGAGAGATTGGAAGGAAATATGTGAAATCTATTGCTGCGTGTCACTATAAAAGGACAACACAACTTACAGGATCTTACAGTTTGGACTTAAAGCAGTTCGCGTGCGGTACTCGGTATTTCAGATAATAAGCAACAGTGCAGTTGTCCCAGGATTATATATAGCTCTAATTTGGATATAAAATTTGTGGAATAAATAAAATTTGTGTTCTGATATGAGTGCTTCTGGTAAAAGTTTACTTGGCCTATGGCTTTACCGTAGTGGCGAGCAGGAATGGGCCGTGAAACATGGCAGTCCTTTGCATAATATTAAAAAGAAAAGCTTTGTAAGACAATCAAAATCAGACATTTATGAAAAATTGTGTTTATTGGGTGTTAATCAGTTGCCTCCGCAGGATAATGGCGATGTTGGCATTAGTGATAAGAATGTGGATTATCGTGGTACTAGTAATCTGGTTTCTCCACCAGGTGATCGTATATCCATCATTTTCACATTGAAAAATCAAGTTGGAAATTTAGCCAGAGCTCTGCAAGTTTTTCAGGAATTGGGTATTAATGTATTGCATTTGGAATTATCACCTCTGGAGAATGCTACAAATCAGGTAAAGATGTAGTAGTTGTAGAAATTTTTATTATTGTTGCACACGTTTAAATTTTTTTAAAGATTTATTTATTTATAATTTATTAAGTTATAAAATAATTTTTTTATAATAAACTACAAAATCAAATGTGGTAGGGGAAAATTTGGTAAAAAAGTGGAGGGAGGATTTTTGCTTGTTTCTTAAGTTTTGGTGTTGTTTGGTGTACAATTCTTCAAAGAAAAGCCTAAGATAGAGTTTTTAGAACATTAAGAAGGATACAGTTAAAGTCAAAATTTAAAAAGAAGTCTATTCAAGTAACCAATTATTCCAGTTTTCAGCAAACCAAAAATTGAAAAATATTTAGAATAAAGAAATCTAATTACATAGAATCCACTACTCTTCTTTTAGGTCTTCTTTTAGACTTCATTTAAAAAGAATTCATTTCATTTTACTTGTAATATATATAATATATATATATGTATATATATATTTTAACAAAATGTTAATACAGAAGTTTTTCGTATTACCAGGCAAGTTGCCAAGTTCGGGTTCAGACACACCGAAAATAGTTGCAGAACTAAATGTCTATTGATTATTAATGTATGGCGACTAAATGGTATAGTTCCTTCAGCATTTTATCTGAAAGGTCTCCGAAGTAAGTTTCTGGTAACGGGCATGATACTTACTTACTTAGCACTTTTTCGTCATAATATATTATTTCATTCTGTGTTTTTAATGCAGTTAGTTATTAAATAAATGTTATACTTGCATGCTTGGTAAAATAATTTAATTACTTAAAGGTAAAAGATCGAAATTAAGGTCATTAATAGAAACTTATTTGTAATATCAAATTTAAAGCGATTCCTTGACAATTTAGAGTCTTTCTTTTTTGAGGATCTAGGCGATAAGCTTTACCAAAGGTTCTAGATGGATTGAACAGTAGCACAATAGGTCTATAGCGCTAAGTGGATCCCCTTGGGATCGCCGCTATAACCTAATCTAAACTACTAAATATTATAGAGCTCTTTAGAATCTTATATAACTTTACAGAAGTTTAAATGTTTTTCACTTGGAATTTCTTCAATAACATTTCTTCAGATTAAGAAATGTACTTTAAGATTAAGAAATGTCTACTTTATGTACTTTAAAACAGAAGTACATTTCTACTTTCTACATATTTACTGCTGCTTTCTAAATTTGTCGTTAGAGTTCTAAACAATTATGATTGATAATGTATATAGTATATTTGATTTCGATGTATGTTGTAGTTTTAGTTGTTTAATAATCGAGTCCAGTAGTATACAGATGATAACTAAAAAAGGGTCTTTAACATCTCATTAGAGAGAGCAGTTATATCCAAATTTAACTGTGTCTATTCTATTTTTATTACAATATATACGATTAGTATATTTATATATATTTTAATTCACATTTTCATTTTTAGATACTTTATTTATATTTATTTATTTAATTAATAGATTAGTTGATACAATTTCCCGGGCCTATATCGTCTTAATGAACGATATTCAAATTGTTGGTCTCCTATCCTGATATGTAAATATTCACAAAGGCATTTTTAGTTAAGAATCAAGCACATAATAAATCAAATCGGATGAAGATCAATTTTTTCTAAAACATTTTTCTTTCAGAGTTTTTAACTCATTGTGATAAGTTAGGTTAAAAATTTTTTTATAATAAAGTAATAAAAATCGCTTGCAAAAATCATCGTCAATGTCCTTTAGCTACTCTTGGAACATAACTTCTCCATAAAACTTCTGAATCTCGTGCTAATGCTATCAGTTTCTTTCAACTGTTTCCGATATCACGAATATCATATTTTGCGACTGCTCTTCATAATATTCTTGTTGTACGAGATTCCTTACTGTTGTCCTGGACATTTTGATTTAATGCGTTGCAGCTACAGATGGAAGCAAATTAGCATACTTACATTATTTCACAGATGTAGTATCCTCTTCGAGATCAATATTATCATACAAAAAGGTTCTCAACATGCCTCCACCTAACATCTCCTTGGAAGAACGACATCTTCCCCGTGTAGCAAGAACAGTTCTAATTGAACAGTTACTTGGCACACATAAACACGTCTATTGCTAAAGCGTGCGCAAACTGCAGCTCTACTCCCCATGACGTCGCCCATTTGTTCTCCTGTCCTACAACGCTCAAAAACCTCCGTCCAATTTATCATTGGACCCATCTCATTGAAGTGGCTAGGTTTCTCAATCGTGATATTTTACATATAAATAAAAATTTTTTTAGTTTGATTGTAGTGGAAAATATAAATAGACAGGTATAGAATTCTAAGTGTTTTAAAATTTTAACTGACTATATATTTAGTAGTGCTGTTCCTATTATTTAATATTTGAACTATTCGGGTGTTCGGTGTGGATATCCACATTATCCACATTTATCCAAATAGTCAGCGTTTGATAGTTTGTATGAAGTTAAATTGACTTTAAGGTTGACAATAGAGTTGTTAATATCCACACAAATACGAATATCCATACTTGCATCGGTTAAAACTATTCAGATACCCACTTAGCTAATGCTTAATATTTTGTATGAGGTTAAACCGACCTTTGGATTTGCAATAGGGTTATCGATATCTACCCGTACACAAATATTTGTATTTGCCTCAGTGTGAATTGTTTGATATCCAGATATCCAAATACTCCACATTTTAGTTTGAGGTTAAATCAACTTTTGGATGATAATATGGATTTGTAAATATGTGGACTTACAAATAAATAAGACTTATAAAAGATAAGACTTATAAATGGAGATATAGAACTATCTCCAGAAATGAAGATATAGAAATAAATTTGTTTTGGCAGTAATATTAGATTAGTTATAGCTTTTTTTATTGTAGTAGAAGAATTTTATATAAAAATTAACTATTGTCTTAATGTTGTACACAATACTATTATTAATATTATTAAAACTAATATGAATATTATTAATAACATTAATATCGGTTGAATAATATTAATATAATTAATAACATTAATATAAATAACATTGACATTATTATGAATAATATTAATGATAGAAAGAAGTACATATTGTACCTAATATTTTTAATAAATAAATATTACACACGTAAGTATTAGAAATATCTTAATATTATTTTTGAATGGATCGTCATATAGTTGCAGCTATAATCCCTTTTAATTTTTTTTAAATTATAAATATGGTATATGTATTCATTTATCAAACTCAGGCGGATGTGCTTGTTGATGTCGAATGTGACTCCAAACGCCTAGATCAGGTATTACAGATGCTAAATAGGGAAGTGCAGTCCGTGAACTATACTTCGGTGAAGTCGAATATGTCGGCAAGAGCACCGTCGCTTTCAGCTTGTTCCAGTTTTGGTAAATCTATTAAAATACAAACATCACAAACGTTCTGATGATTTTATTACTTTTCAGACTTCGGGGAAATGGTTTGGTTTCCTAGAAAAATATCAGATTTAGATAAGGCGCAAAATGTTTTGATGTATGGTTCAGAGCTTGATGCCGACCATCCTGGTTTTAAGGATCCAATATATCGCAAACGCCGTGAACAATTTTCGGCAATTGCTAATAATTTTAAGCAGTAAGTAAAAATGCGTCATGCGGTGTAGTGTGACTAACAGAGTGTCAGATACTTGATGATTCATAGTCCAAACAATTTATATACATTTACTAGAAATATTTTAAAATTAGTGTCTATAATAGAATAGTTTCTATTTTGAGTTTAATTTTCATTTTGTCTACTTTGATACTAAAACTTTTAATTTAGTGGCAATCCCATACCACGCGTCCAATACACTGAGGAAGAAGTGAAGACTTGGTGAGTACGAGTAAATTGGCGTCCAAAAGTAATAATAAGATTTTATGGTAACCATTTATTTGCATTTTCTTCTTGCAGGGGTACAGTATTTTGTGAGCTACATCGTCTTTATGTGAAGCATGCGGTACCTGAATACATGGAAAATTGGCCAGACTTAGAAAAATATTGTGGTGTGTATATTAAATGAATTTTGAAATAACAATATTTTAAGAAGAATATGTTGGTATACAAATTAATATTTTATCATCAAATATATCCAGACAATTGAACCCTCCAAGTACTCATGCCATATAAGCAATGATTCGCAATCTGGCAGTTAACTAAATTGTCTGTAGTTTTTTTTCTTCAAATCTAAAATTTTCTATGTAAACATCTTTAATAATTTCCAGTTGATGGTAGTTATCACTTTTTCAACGAACTTCGTGAGAGCGTTCCACTTCTAGAGAGAGTAGTAGTTTTAAGTATGAATCTTGCCCTGTACATTGAAAGTCACTTAAGCACAAATAATGGCCTGTTGTGATGTCGTGAAAGAAACACCGTCCATACGCTAGACCTAAACAACCATTTTAAAGGTAGAGTCAGTTAGGAAAAGGTCTCTGAGATTCTGAATACTCTCCTAGCTAATGATGGGAACTGACACATTGAGGGAGTGTATATTTTCCACCTCATTTGCAGAATTACAGTCCCATCAAATGTGTGTTAGCCCCAAACACTTGGGGGTATTATGGCAAGCCTTGCTAATAAGCAGTGACATTCTAGTATATATACCGTAGTACTAAGTTTTTCCCGATTTAGTTAAAGCAGTTGATGTGAATTGTGTTCTATTAGCACCAGAAGAGTCTTGTGACCTAACAAGAATCTTCATATTTCCACAAGTTCCTTGTAAGAAAAAAATATAGACTAATATTTTAATTATATTTCCAAACCATTTAATACTCTTATATTATAGGATATCGTAAGGATAATGTACCGCAGCTGCAAGATGTCAGCATTTTTTTAAAGCGCAAAACTGGGTTCCAATTACGCCCAGTTGCTGGGTATCTCTCTCCTAGAGATTTCTTGTCTGGGCTGGCTTTTAGAGTTTTCCACTGCACACAGTATATACGTCATTCCTCAGATCCTTTCTATACACCCGAACCGTAAGTTAACCGAAAAGAAATCACTTTTAATTCATAATATATGTGTATTGTAATTGTTAGTGACTGTTGTCATGAGCTATTGGGTCACATGCCGCTTTTGGCCAATTCGAGTTTTGCTCAATTTTCACAGGAAATTGGTTTAGCATCTTTGGGTGCTTCAGACGACGATATTGAAAAGTTGGCAACTGTAGGATATATGATTATTATTAAGATATGATTTTAATCAAATAACAATTTAACTTTCAATATTTTAGCTTTATTTTTTCACTGTTGAGTTTGGTCTTTGCAAGCAGACAGACAATTCTTTTAAAGTCTTTGGAGCTGGTCTTCTAAGTTCCGTAGCTGAATTGAAACATGCTATTGAAGCCAAGGAAAAAATAAAAAAATTTGATCCAGAAATAACATGCAGGGAGGAGTGTATTATAACATCTTATCAAAATGCCTATTATTATACGGATTCATTCGAAGAGGCGAAGGAACAGATGAGGTAAATAAAGATATTGCTACCTGTATTATTTCTGGAATTTTTGTTGTATTTGGTTTGCTATTGCCTCTTTTATTCTTTTATGTTGTTATCACTATTTTTAATTTAATCTTAATGTTTTGTTTTTTATGATAATAAAAAACAGAAATCATGAAAAAAACTAATGTGCTCACGATTTGTAAGCCAATCACGCTGGCCGTAAGCCACGCACAAACATTTTGATCCTCACTGATAGTACATAGTACTCTAGTCAATATAATCAAAATTGCCTTTATCTATATTTATAATTGAAATTAGTCAAGTAATCACATCCATAAGATGGAAAAAGTGGATTAAACTTTAGGTTTAGGCAATTAAAAATGATCTTCTTAGACTTATTGGCCGATTGTATTAACTTATAAGAGAAAAGTGAGCGGTTTAAAAACCACATTAAAAGGTGATATAAACCACCTCAAGGAAGAAAACATGATAAATAGAAAATTCCTTTAGAAATAGCTGACAACATAGAACATATATTAAAATCAAGTAACAACGTAAATAAATCATTGTGGGTATTATATGAAAAGTATATTAAACCAAATGAGAATTATATTTGTTAATAATGTCATTTAAGTAATAATAATTCTCACTGTGTATAAAAATAATTCTTCATTTATGACTATATTTGAGGATAATATATTTGAGAATTTAATATACAATTTTGACTGATATCTTATTGCATGAAAAATGTCTTTGCCTTCATATAAGTTAAATACGATTTGAAGATCTGTGTGTGAGCGAAATATTTTTTTTAATTGCTAGATAATTTTATTGTGTTAATGATGAAAAATAACTTTAGTCAATTAACCATTATGGAAATATCCAAGAAGCCACGTTAAGTAGCTACAATTTTCAACAAGTTTTTCGAGTATATAAGGGTGCATAACATGAAAGGCGTGTTCAATATTTACTATCTATGTGTAATCATAATTAATTCCATGTAATTTTACTTCCATGTAAAATGCTTTACTTGCGGTAAATCAGATAATCTAGGAGGTTATGCCACAGTTCCCATTTTGGAGTCAAAATTTGGAGTCCATTAAACAGAAGTTTTAGGAAAATATTGATTTCTCTTACAATAAAGACTGCAAATTCTAGTTAAAACAAATAGCCGTTTAAGACATGTCCTTTCATACACGAAAAAATAAATTGTTGTTTATGGAGTCTGTTCTGGTTTCCTTTGATAGTGACTTTTCGATTTTTATATTTGTCCAGAAGTACAGTCCAATGAATTCACCAGTCCATAAAAAGCACTAGATAAATACACTAAGTACATCGGTATCTGATGAATTGTATTACGATCGTGTTTCATTCAAATTGGATTAATAATTTATAAATGTTGCTTGGATGCTAGTCTCTTCTTGCTGAAATGATATGCCATTTATTATTTAATAATACTATGGTGTTAGTTAATGGATTAATTATCAGATCTTCACGTGTCACTATATTGATAAAATTTTGATCTTACTTAAAGAAGACTTTGCATAATTGAGAAAACGTTTTATAGTTTTGTTATGAAGTTCTCTCTCTCTCTCTCTATATATATATATATATATATATATATTTTTTTTTTTTTTAATAGAAGTATAACCATACATTAGAATATACTAGAATAAGTTGTACAATAATTTTTATTGTCAGATGGATAGCCCCTGACTATCCTGACTATCTGAGGCAGAAACGTATCTCAAGTTATAATAAACTGGCAAAGCAAAGAAAAATCCTCGTTTCCATATTTTATTCATTATCCTATAAATGCAGCATAATGTCTTGTAAATTTGGAGATCTTCTAGAAGCTCGATGCTTATCATCGTTCGTTATGTATGTAAAAGAGATTAAAGGTTTAAGAGATTAAATTTTTAGATTAACTTCCATAATGTCTTCAAACATTTTGTAATTGGAAGTTATTCCAAAAATTTGAACAAATATTCATTCTAAAGCAAGAAAGCTTGGTTAAAACTTTGTTTAGGATAACAATCTATAGTATGTCAAAGCTATTTATATTTATATCTAGGTAAGCTACCGCAACTATTTGAAATCTCCTACAGTTTTCTTTTCATAGTATCCAATGATGGGGAGTGATACAAGAGATGGAGTGCAGTTTCCTCCTCGAAATGAGTTAGAGTACAGTTTTCTCCTCATTCAAGTTAATAATAGATAGATGTTAATAATAATAGATGAGATACAGTTTTATTATCCACATAAGTTGGAGTACAGTTTTTTCTTCATTTCAGTCAAATATGACCACTGCGACCGATATACCCAGTTATGGTAGTTATGGTAAACCGTGGGGATCTGCTGGTATAGCTCTTTTTGGGAATGGTAAATAGCACTTGTTCGTCGAAATTTAAAAGTGGTTCCGGGACCCAACTCTAGCCACTTCTGAAACTACGTTATTAGTTAGTTGGTTTCGCTATAGTTGACTGATTGACTGTTTTTTTTTCTATTTGGATCAATTGAGTCTTGTGATATGACATGAATCTAAGTCTATCCAAACTTTGTAGTTTTGATTAGTTTAAATTTATTTGAATTAAATTAAATATTAATTACTAAATTAAGTTATACTATACTATACTCCACTCTATTGACTTATCTATCGATAAGAAAGTGAACGGATATTATATATAATTTTAATAATTATTTTTTAGGGCCTTTGCGGACAGCATACAACGTCCTTTTGGTGTGCGCTACAATCCTTACACTCAAAGTGTGGAAGTTCTCTCCAACGCACAGAAAATAACTGCTGTTGTTACGGAGCTGAAGGGGGACTTGAGCATCGTCTATTCGGCACTACGTAAAATATCAGCAACCGATGAAAATTTGGATGTGGATTGCATTGCAAATATGCTCTCCCATAGCTTAAATGTGCGTGGAGGTGACAAGAGTCCTTTGAATTCAATAAGTCCCGATAATTCGGATAATTCGCAGCGTTCCTTTGGAGATGAATAAAGAAACTAAATATTTAAAGTTAAAAGTTAAATAGTAATTTATTTGTTAACTTATCGTAAGAGAGAAAATTTATAGAAGGGACCAAATTTACACTTAACAAATGATAAGCAAGTATAAAAATGTTTCTAAACTTAAATAATTATTAAAATTTTCTTGTCTATCTTTACGTCTCTATGGTTTACTAGTTATAATTCACAGAATTATGTACTTTTGAGTGTTAACACAAATATATAACCTTATGTATTAAATATAACCTTATGTAATACAAATATATATAAGAAAATTATGTCTTATAACGAAACTTAACATCCGAGAGTTTGTAAAAATTGCTTAAACTAATTAAAAAGTAATCGAGTAGGGAAGCTTAGTAGTTGTATTATTTATTATAGATCATATCACAGTCTCCATCCAGCACGAATTTCTTGCTTATGTAGCCAGAGGAGTAGTCCAACACCAACTTGGGTATAGTCCATATGCTGAAAGCGCCGAGCATTGGTGTGAGTACGCGTTTCAATTTCGGCAAAAGCAGAAACACATCCATTTTTTGGTACCAGGTCTTGGGAGTTTTGGACACTTTTTCTTCTTTGCGTTGGAGCTTCTTCGGTTGTGCCAAGTCTTTAACTTCAACACGTGGTGTGATTTGTATTTGGTCGACTGTTTCGCATACTTCTTCGTTGCTCAAGAGTATGCCAGCTACGATGTACATCATTTTAAAGTACCTACAAGGCGGAGTAATGAGTAGATAAATCAATTTTGATGAAGGCATTACATTAATTTCAATGTTATTATTTAATAAGATTAATTTTATTTATGTTATACACACCTGACTGTGCGTGACATCATGAAGTGTATAAGAGCGCAACAAAGTATATTATTTCTTGAGATATTTCTGAGTATTTTTCGGGGAACTCGTATTCCAAACATATATCACTCTCGAAAAAAAGTATAGTATTCTTAT